CAGCTTTTTATGGAACTTGTCTGTTTTTCACGTAACTCTCCCTTAATGATCTGTAAAACCCCAGCCGCTCTGTCAGCTTCTCGCATTATCTGTCACATCCAGCAGTTTTCTGATGTCGTGTCCAGTAGTTTTTCACATCCTGTTTATTCAGCTTAATCTCAGGCCAAGGCCTAGTCATCTGCCTGCAGCCCTGACAATGTCCAACTGGCTGATGGGTTGTTTGATGTCCCCATGCTCAGACCAGCTGCTCAAGTGGCCAACGACATGAGGAGTCTTGATCTCCACACTGAAAATTGTTGTGAAATTGTGCAGATCCCATCACAGAGTCAGGCTGATCCTGTTGCTGCTGCTCGCTTCTACCACTTCTTTATCGCTTCATCTTGGTTGCTCCTGTGGCAGTTGTTGGCTCAGCTAAGGCACCAGGACAAAGAGAACTATACCATTGTGTTTTGTGGTGTGTACATCAACTTGCAATGGGTCTTCCTTTACTCGCATCCCTATATCTTAAAGGGTTGCATGACAGAAGCTGAGATAGGAGTGTAGTCTGTAATTAAAACTATTTCCCTTGTTGCTTACTATGCATTAGGCATCAGTGTGCCAGTGTTTGCCAGCTTGAGTGCTGATGCCGTCAGTGCAGGCAGTGTATCTGAATGTCTTGTAATTGTAATCTCTTTCCCAGAAGAGCAAACATGATCAGCATGCAGGGTAGAAGCGTCTGTTGATCCCAACAGTTGATCCTTCAAGAGGCAGTCAGTGCTTCAACACCTTATTGTTCAGACTTTTTTTTTTTTTTTTTTTTTTTTGAGATGTTTGGGGGTTATTTAAACTGTTTGTCAGAGATTATTTTCAGGGAGAGGAGGAGAGTGTGTGTCTGTTGTTTGGTAGGAAGGCTTTATGTTTAGCTAAACTGGGATTATTGTGGATTGGATACTTCATAAAAGTAGTTTATTTATCTATTTCCCTTGTAACTTCTGTTCCCTCTTCACTTAGAATGTAACACCTCATTAATCTTGGAAATTTAGGGACACAGGATGCTATATGCGAAGTATTAAAGTGATTTTAGAAAGCTACTGTAATCTGTGAGGGCATTTAGAATGTGGTGAGAGCATTCTTCATTGTGAGCTTCCAGTCATGGACCTTTTCAATACTAAGGGAATTTTAAGTGAAGAGGGAAGAGATGGACAAAACCACAGATTGGAGCAGAGCTGATGGACAAGGGTTAACAGACAGTGACAAAAAGTTTCTCGTCATTAAGTAACAGGCCATTTAGAAACTACTGGTACTGCTTTGAAGAAGGCAAATCTATAGACTTTCTTACTAATAAGAAGGAGAAGCAAGAGGATCTTGAGTATTTTGGAATGAGAGGGACCTCTGGAGTGTGTGAAACTTATTAAACAATATTTAGGGGGCATAGGTGGGAGCAGGTATCAAAAGGGCCAGTCCCAGCTAGTGCCAGCTGGGACACTTATCTGACCAAGTCTGATTGCCACAGTCTGTCATCTTTTTGTAAATCTTTTTTTAACTTTCTGTGTAATCTCCCTCTTTATCCTGTGTGTGCAAATACTGGAAGTACTAGGTGCCAGCTACCAGGAAGATGAGCATGAATGGATACAGAGCCAGCAAGTGGAGGGAGACCAGGGATGTTG